TCTGATTTGTTGAAGCAGTCCCAAATTGGCCCTGAAGTAATTGAGACATCTTCACAAAAAGCCTTCATTTGGGATATATACAGTGGAACATGTTTGAAATATTTTTAGTAGTGACAGACACAAATGTAAGACTAAATACAGTAGTAGGGAATAAGTCTTCATATATGCTTCTTAAAAAACCTGAACACATTGTTTTGTTGGTACGTATTACATTGTTTACTATGCTTAAAATTTTCTTAGATCATATAATGAAAGCATCTTTCTTCAAGAATCTTGCTTATGCAGATAGAACTAGGTGTTACTCAGATTTCTAATGGAAATAGAGGTTTATACCTACGACTTCTGACATCCAAGAAACACAGTTTGAAAAGCTAAAGGTGTGAAAAGGTGCCTTGGAATAGCCTTGGGGACTGTCATGTTTCCCTGAGTGCTGAGTTCTAAACTTGCCAAAGAAAATCAATGTCTGCTGCTTTAGTTATACACAGTTTCTTATTAAAGCAATACAATCCCTCCTGACTTCTGCAGCAATCAATGTGTTGCAAAATGAGATGAGGCAAAAAAAAGATAAAAAAATTGTAAGTTCAAACATCAATGTACTGTGATGAAAGAGAGGAAAAATGGTTAGGGGTATACAGAAGAAGGATTAGCATATGCTTAGATCTTATACTATGCAAATGGTGTCTTCATCATTACCAGTCCATTAGTTTATCTGTCTTCACTGAGTGGACTGTATTTTTTTGGACTTCACAACTAAACCCATGCTATTATGAAATCCATGGGCCTCTGTACTCAGCTCTGGGTTATTGCACTGCTACTTGTTGCACAGCTGGAAGTAATATCTTCTCATGACTTTGAGCACTACCATTCAGTGATATATATGCTGAGCAGAACATTTTTGGGTGCAAGTAATATGCTGTCTAACCACTGGCACTGACATTTCTAAAACTAGCCTACAAAATGGATGCTTTGCCTTTGCAGATACGAGCTGACTGTTGATGACAAGAAGCAAAGCAAGAAGAACCCTGCAAAGGACAGAGCAGGGAAAAGCCCAGACAGCATCATGAAGTTTTATTTTGGGGGCTCTCCCTTCAGAACACAGCAAGCCAACTTCACTGGCTGCATAAGCAATGCTTATTTTACTAGGTGTGTAGCATCCTCCCAAACACATTACCAGGCAGTCACTGTCTGACAGCTCAAATAGTAGCTCAAGAGAACTGATTTATTGTCACCAGAAAAATCACTGTCTCATTTTGTGAGGCTAGACAGTATGTGTGAATAAGTTTCTTACCTTATTTGCCACAGAATCTGCTGACACAGGCCTGCTAGGTTAAGGTATTGTTAAAGTGGGAATAACTTGATGTAAATCAGCTTTCAGTACTGTACCTGCTAATACTGCTAGTGCAATGTATAATTTGCATAGCTCTAATTTACATTTATATTATGTAGCTTTCAGCTCTGCCTTTGAAACAGAATTATATTAAGGCATCTCAAAGAAGCTCATAAAGTTAGGAGTTTGGTCATGTGAAATCTTATATAAAAGATTTTAAAGTGAATTTGATGCTGCAGATTGAGACTACCTGTTTATGAAAGCATGGATTAACAGGCAGGGGTAGGATAGGCTGCCTGCATTACCCAAACATTGACTGATAAATCTGCACTATTACCCATGACCCAAGAATGAAAAAAACATAGCTTCGACTATAAATGTAAAATTCTGTGATTTTTCTGAAGACAATTCCAATACTTGGAATAAAGCTGTTCTTGTCATCCCCTCTTTGAAACATAGGCTGGATCGAGAGGTTGAAGTGGAAGATTTCCAGCAGTACTCTGAGAAAGTTCAGACTTCTTTATATGGATGCCCTGTTGAATCTCCTCCAGTTGCTCTTCTCCATAAGAAAGGAAAAAACTCATCAAAAGCCAAAGGAAACCATAATAAAAAGGTTTGCTACAAATTGCCCCAGTACCACCCTAGAGTTTTCCAAAGCTGACATATACTGTGCCATGATTGGGAATTCTCCAAATTATGGATCCAAAACGTACCACATGAAGACTATTTCAGCTATATGAAGGAAAGGATCCTGCTCCTTCACGTATTCCATCACTGCAAATGACTGCCCTGACCCCACCCATCTGGCCTACGCTTGCATCATGCTCTTGCTGGAACTGTAAAACAAATTTTATGACAACTTTACAAGAGTACTGTGGAAACAAACCTTCTTGATTTCTTCTATATCCTAAGGCAATAAGCTTGCTTCTGTTCTCAGCTACTTCTGTGTAGCTCTCTCTATTGGGTACAATCAGCACACATTAATATAAATGTGAAAAAAAACCCAAACCTTTCAGCATGCAGAACTTTTAGTCCAAGCATGTCCTCTCATGCCTATGGTATAGCTGATATCACCAAAAGCTGAGAGGAAAAGATTCAATTAGGAAAACTACAAAATAATTGAATTATAATTGTTAGCTGTTTTTCCCTTCATCTGCCCTAAATCAGCATCTATAGCAGATCTGTTCATGGAAAAATTGTCTTGGAACCATTCCTGGTATTTTTGTAAAATAAAAATATAGCACTAGCTTAGACATAAATGATAGAGTTATTTTATTATGTCCAATCTTAGTTAAAATTTCTGGTTAATGGTCCTCTTTCTATGAAGGTGGGAAGAGATAAAGACAAGATCCAACAGCCTTCAACTGGCCTTAAAAAACTGTATAAAGAAGTGAATATGCAAAGAGACCCCCAGTGCCACTTGCCCATGAATCCCAAGGCAACTGAACATGCGTATCAGTATGGAGGAACAGCAAACAGCCGGCAAGAATTTGATCACATACCAAAGGATTTCAGTCAAAGGTAAAGAGACCTTTCTGCTGTTACCCTGGCTTTTTATTTTGTATCTTAGGCTAATTTTTGCATACAGCATGTTGTTAGAATATATTAAAAGGTGTCTCAGTTGAGTAAGAGCAATAAATACAATGTGCTTCCAGTTACACCCCTCTTATGGAATCTTCATCTGCATTGTATATTAACAAAATGTGTCTCCTTGCCTATTTATATGAAGACTTTGAGGACGTTATTTCTTTATGAGCAATGCGCCATCAGTCTCTTGACACAAGAAGCAATGGCGTTAGAGCAGAGCTGGAAAAGAACACAACAGTTCACCAAGAAATGAAGCAACTACATGTTCATTGGGCCTTGTCAACTATTTAATGGTTACAAATCTACACAGGGCAGCAGGATATAAAACTATGAAAACCATGGCCAATTCAAGACATAATGGAAATGCAAGTAGTTAATAGAGTCCAGATATTGTGGACATTTAATTCTCAGGCTCCCACAGAATATGCTATATGGTGTGTTATGACCAACAAAGAATTTTGGTTTAATACTTTCCATGAAAGACTATAAATTCAACAACACAGCGCTTCCTGGAAGCATACCAGACCACTAACTCATAACAGAAGAGTGCTATTTCCTGATTTAAATAAAAAAAAACATTATGTTTGTTTTAATTTAATAGTGTTTTACTTAGGGCGGTCCTGATGGTGCCCATATGAAGAAGGAAAGCCAAAACTCTAGTATGTCTCTTCATCCCTACTAGACACACTTGTTTTACAACTGTTACTACAGCTTCATCATTGTAATGTGCATTTTAAGAAAACAATGACTTGTAATGTTTTTAAACAACTGGTAATGGAAATGGCCTAAGTATATGTGGAACATACACACAAGCAGTGGAGAACACATAGATCCCTCAGGCAATATGAAGACTGGAAGTTAGGTTCGTCACCTGACATGGGAAGCAGAAGTAATCAGTTCTGACACTGTCCTACACCAGTACAGCTATGCAATTTTTTAGACCCAAAGTAATAATACCATCCACTCAAGAAATCTTTGCTGTTGACAGTGTCAAACCAAGTTGGTAAAACTTGCCATGTTGTCTTACACTTCACAAGGAACTGGAGTAACACTGGGAACTCCACAAGTCTGGAATAACACCATTTTTGAACTGTCAGGCCTCCATGCGATCACAGTTAAAAAGTCTCCCAATGTTGTTTTGCTTTTGACAGGAATGGAAATATAGTGTATATAGTGTCAATTATTGGTGGTCTATATTGATTTTTTTCACACCAGAGATTTTAATTTCTGAAAACAAGCTTCTTGCAAGGCAGCTTCTCCTCCAACTTTGCCTTCTACTCCAAAACCAGTATGGAATGTTTCTCAGAAACACCATTTCTATAAAGGAGATGTATATTCATTTGGATGAGAGCAAAATCTAAATATTCCACTGCCTGCAGTTTGATTTAAGTTAACTATATCTGCTCTAATTTTTATACTGTGTTTTTATGTGACAGAGCTCAGTTCTCTATCAGTCTGAAAACTCATTCATCTCATGGAATGATTTTCTATGTCTCGGATCAAAAAGAGACCAACTTCATGGCCCTTTTCGTTGCTCATGGCCGACTCGTTTTTATGTTTAATGCTGGTCATCAGAAGATAAGGATTAAAAGCCAAGAGAAATACAATGATGGCCTTTGGCACAATGTAAGTAAAAGAAAGTAATCGTTATGGTGGCACATGCTATGAAGGTTGCAGTAAAGACACTGCTGATGTGACAGCTCAGGGAGTTTTAATTCATGTGTTCATAACCACACCTATATGTTGAGAAATTACTGTCAATACTTTTAAAACTTCCATGCAGAATTTTATCAAGTCATTAAATAGGGACAGGAAAGTGACTCTGTTACAAAAATCCAGCAATTCCCAACACAAACAGCTGAACAGAAGTGACAGAAGTAGAGCTGTGAGACAAGTAACAGTTAACTAGGAAAGGATTTTGTTCAGCATATTTCTATGAAGTGCCTAAGCAAGGAGCATAGCTGTCTTAGACTCCCTCTGAAGTCTATGAAAATAAAAAGCAAATATTAGGGGTTAAGGTGAATTTGCATCTGTACGTACCTCTTTCTCCTCACTGACTGCAGAGAAATTCTACAGTCACTGAACTGCTAACTTGGACACTTAAGTATTTAAAGCAGGTTGGATGGAACCAGACTGTAAAACTGGCGAAGGCCATGAAAATGCTACAGCAATAGCACTGTAGAGTGAACCATGTATGCGAATACAAGATGAACAGACCTCAGTTACCTCGTGACACCTTGATAAATCTGCCTTGTACACCAAAATGTAAAAGAGACAGCAGTGTTACTATGTAGCCCTTACATGAATGTGAAGAGAGAGGAGTGTCCAGCAAAGAATACTGGCAGTTAATAAAACAGGCTTATAGAGTATCACTTACAAGCTTTTCTTCTCAAACTTTGTCTCTTCTTTCACTGCACAGGAATGTTCCCTCAACAGATGAAAGTAATCTTCCAAATTATCTTCTTTCCTTTCTAGGTGATATTTATTAGAGGCAAAAATATTGGTCGCTTGATAATTGATGGCCTCCGAGTACTGGAAGAACCTTTTGGCAGTATTGCTGACACCTGGCAAGTCACTGAACCACTCTATATTGGGGGTGTAGCTCCTGGAAAAGCTGTAAAAAATATCCAGGTAAAGCAAACACACACTCCATCATCCCATGCCTCTATGTACAGCTAATGCAAAGCTGACTGTAGGATGAGTTCCAGAAGAAGTGTATCATCTGAATTCTCAGCAAGCAGCTCAGGTTCAAGTGGATAGCAAATCTCACGCAAGGCTGGGCTGGCAATAGCTGAGCTAGACTTCATAGGCTCGCAGCAGCAAGTGGAAAGCCAGTGGTCCCTGAGGAACAGAGTAATCCTAGTGACATCCAAGCTTAGATAATACAGGTAAAGTCAGGTGAGATCAGTTTCACCCTAAAGTCTGAGACACAGATGAGTTTGAGAGATTTTAGTGCTGCCTTAGTATCTCTGTTTTAAGACAGTACCTAGAAGTCAGGATTCCGCTCTACACCTTGGTACTAAAGTATATGGAAAGGAGCATTAAAGCAAAAAGGAACACAACCAAGTCTCCTTCAAGGTAATCTTTAGTGTTACGCACCTAACAGGACAGATAACACTACTCAGAAAATGTAGACTCCTGTCTGTCTAGCCTCGAGGGTATGAGGTATGTATAACACCTCCTTGCTCTAGTTGTGCTTTGTTTGTTATGGTTCAGTAAGAGAAACAACACAAGCTGGAGTTACCTTAAAGTCATCAGACTTGAAAGGCTATTGAAAGTATCAGTCCTGCTTCTCTTCTCTGGAAACTGTTTTTTAATTCAAAACTGACCAGACAATCACAGCCTATAGCTCATAAACAAGTACAAATAAGGCCAGAGGAGTTTCTTTCCTTCCACAAGCAGTTTATCTTTTAATCATGCCTTTTTTCTTACTTTTTTCCCCTCAGATTAACTCTGTCTACAGTTTTAGTGGTTGTCTCAGCAATTTACAGCTCAATGGAAGATCAGTCACTTCAGCTTCGCAGACATTTAGTGTCACGCCTTGCTTTGAAGGCCCATCAGAAGCAGGAACATACTTTTCATCAGAAGGAGGATATGTAGTCCTTGGTAAAACATTACTAACCAAATGTATCCCATAATAAGACTGTAGTAATCACTGTGCTTCAGAATGGTGTATCTCACTAAAGGGTGTGGTAATTTTGGAGGCTGCGAGCTGTAAGGATTATTAGATACAGATCATTACTGTGGTAAGCAGCTGATTTTGACACGTCACAATGTCACCATGAAACTTAACACAGTGTTACATAAATACATATGTATGCATTTCAAATAATTAATTTCAAAAGGGAACAGATTATAATACGTTAACAATTATCACAGACATATAGAAGTCAGTGTGGCCAAGACCAAGCACACCAACAAATGGTCATCCTGCTCATGTTTAATTAGTAAAACAACATACAATTCAAACGTCCTAAGGAAAGGCTTTCTCCATGTCTTGATAATGAACAGCATGACAGAACTCATCTTTTCTGTCATTTAGGCCTGCTGTGTTCCATGAGGTGTTTTATAAAGGTTTTTTGGTAACATAGGCTCTGAATAGCAAAGGAAACTGCACAACCTTATTCATTGACAACACCAAGAATTATTACACAATGTTTCTAATTTGCTCCCTGGCCTAAGACCAGATTGAAATACCGAGTTTTTTCCTTCTACTGAATCATCAAAGCTCAAGTGAACTCCCACTCACTGTGTAAAGACTGCTGAGTATCTAAGCAAATTGCACAGTAAGAAACTGCCAAAAGAACCAGATAATTTACTTTCTGCTGTCCATTTCCCATTTCATTGCTAAGAAATATTTTTAAACAAAACACTTTTTTTTTTTCATAGTGAGACATATAAAGAAACCTTTATTAGTACGCCAAGCAAACAATCAAAACAAAAGATGAAGTGGGTCATTGACAGCACACCATGCTATCTCTTCAAGTATGTGTACTAGCACATGTTTCAATAGTTTGAGAGACAGGATAAATAAGTTCCACCCTGGGCTATGAATTTCTATTTTGACTTTGAACAAATGTCCCGTTTCATCAGTAACTCACTACAAAATGAATGTTATTCTTTTTACTTTATAGATGAATCCTTCAGTTTAGGCCTGAAATTTGAAGTTGTTTTTGAAATACGTCCCCGAAGCAGCTCAGGAATTTTACTGCATGGTCACAGCGTGAATGGAGAGTACTTGAATATGCACATGAGAAATGGACAGGTATAATGAAGGTCACATCTCTTCCACTGCTCTGACTGGTTCCTCTCCAACCTATTTGGGCTCTGCTATATGCAGCTTTTGTCTTACAAGTTTGCCATTAATTGATTCTTATTTCTCTCCTCAATACATTAACTGCTAACATTAAGCAACCCAGACATTTATTTTAAAATACAAAAAATAACACCTAAGACAAAACCAGATTACTTTACTGGTACCACATATAAATATCTAATAAGCGGTTGAAAAGAAGCAGGAGCACTGACTCTTTGGTGCTGCTCTTTCATCCACACATTAAAAATGTGTAACAGTTACAAGAAGGTAACTGCTGATGATTTTTTTAATCTTGTTTATTAAAAGAGAAGTCCGAGTTGCTCTCAGTGTCTTCTTCCTCTAACAGGTATGTGTGTGATAGGGACAGCGAAGGAAAGGGAAAATTCTGATTGTTGATCTGGTTTTTGATCTGTCATTCAGAAAATCTGTTTTTCTATATTGACTGTAGAGAGAACAACAGGTGCTTCAGTCAGGCACTTAATTTTTGACAGCTGATTAGGTAAGATAAAGCCCATTCTTACAACTGTAGCCAGTCCCTGGAGAACTAACAAAGGACTTCCTAAGGCATGCTGCATTGTTTTAAATGCACATTTAAAGGCGTCACCTGTATACAAATGATCCAGCCTAGTATACTTCTTATGTCAAGATCTGATGGAAGATTCTCATATCCAGAAACTTGTCTGGTCTTCCAACTGTATCATTGGTCTAACAAAAGATACTGTCTTACTGCTTCAAACCTCACTTCCTGTATCACACATATGCAATTCATAAATAAAATTCACCCTGGAAAAGCAGTTCTTCCCTGCTGTCACTGCAACAGGTACTCCAGTTACCTTCTTAGTAAGCATTCGTGGTTTTTACCGTTAACTACCTGTTCTCTTCGAATGTACTACCATTTTGTGAGAACATTTCTGCTGGGCAAATAAAATCAGCACCTTCAATTCATTTTTTAAATGTATACATCTCTATCAGTACAGTTTGTCTGGGTGATATATTAAGGAGCCACTTTATCTCATGAGTCTGTATTTGCTGCTTTAATTGCTCCTATATATTTTGTCCAAGGTTGAATAAAAGAGAACATGAGGATCATTTCATTTTTGTTTGCTGCTGCCCTCATAGGAAAAAAAAAAAAAAAAAAAAGTCGAAAAATTCCTTAGCTACAGCTATATTGAAACAGAGATCTTTTAAAATTAACATATTCAGTCAACAAGCTGTCAGCATTATCAAACATTTGAAAACAGACATTTGAAAAGCCTAGTGGCTGGACTCTGTTTACAGTTCTCCAGCAATCAACAGTGGGAATCTTGTGTGCTGCAACAGGGACATGACAACTGCTATGCCGCTGCTGTAACATTTCCATGCAGAAAGATACTAATCCATGTAACTAAAGCAGAGGTACAAAATTCAGAATTAGGTTCACTTTCCAGCTCTGCCAGAGCGCTCTGGTAAACTTGAACAAGTAGCTTAAAAGTCATTCTTAAGTTCCCTATCTATTCCTTTCTCACATCTTGTCTGCTTGTTTACACTTGAGGTTTTCATGACTGTTTTCCTTATTAAGTGGCTAGCAAGATACCAAAACATCATCTGATGCCTCTAAACACTAATTTACCACACAGGAAATTATACAGTAGCAGTACTAGAAAATTTTAGTGAAAATAGCTGTTATCTTTCAATTTTGATTTGAACTCTTCCTTGAGTTCAAATCAGAAATCTTGCAGAACTATTGAAAGGGGGGAGGGAAGGGAGAACACAACAATCCACAACTCAAATCTGTGAATTAGAAATTCTTTATTTTAAAGTATTTCATGAAATCATGCTTTTCGTTCACTTACATACTAGACATGTTTTGAGTGGGGTATACTCCACTATTACAACAGAAAGAAAAAAAGAGAACAAGAAGCAGTGACAACTACATTGTCTTCCCCCAGGTTACTGTGAAACTGAATAATGGAATCAGGGATTTTTCAACTTCAGTGACACTGAAACAGAGTCTCTGTGATGGCAGGTGGCACCGAATTGCAGGTCAGTAAAACATGATCATTCCCTAATCAAGATGACAGAGCCCAGTCCTCCCTCCCCAGATATCCCCATATATCAGCCAGTGCACTAGAAATGGGGTCATATTTTCAGTTCTTCCTTTTCACCTGTCAAGACACAGGTTTGTGCGACAGACACAGTCATATTCATGCCTCAGATACAAGAACTTCCTGGAAGGACAAGCACAAGTTCCTTCAAAGAACAAGCAAAGATGGAAGCTCCTTGTTCAAAGAGCAACAGACAGCCTAGCTGAAATTCCTAAATTGTATACCAGATTATATTCTTCTTTCCCAATTATAGGTTAAATAAGTTGGTAGAATGTAGTAAGCACAAGTATATGCTGCCCTTAAAGGTCAAATAACAGGACAGATCTGGAGAGCCTCTGCTTCACAGAGAGAGATGTCTACAGTCAGGATTTTGCCTCTGCGCCAATCACCCACGCTTCTTTCCCAAGTTTGAAAGTCAAAAAGTACTCCTAAACCTCAGATACTTTGAACTTCCTTACCTTCCTAGATGCTAACTTGGGATGTCTCCCAGTGTCACATCCAGAAGAGATCTGAGTATGCACCCTTTTCCTATGTATTCTGGTTTCCCTCTGAAGGAAACCAAGGCACGCCAAGCTATTGTATGCTCATACCCTGCAGCCTAGACACCCCTGGCAGCAATCCAGAGCCCCACTCAAGAGCATCCTTGCTCCCACTCTGTATCTTCCATCGGCCCTGCTCTATGCCAGAATCTGCCCACATGTTGTCACTGATGGCTCACACCCAACCTAGCAAACATTAAATCAAACTACTTAGATTCAAACTCCTGTCTGTCACAGAGAATTCACATGCTACTTTTTACAACCCTCTTGACCCCTGTTCCTTCTCCTTTTAGTCATTAGAGATGCTAATGTGGTGCAGCTGGACGTAGACTCTGAAGTCAACCATGTAGTAGGGCCACTAAATCCAAAGGCAATTGACCACAGGGAGCCAGTGTTCATTGGAGGTGTACCAGGTAAGTGTTTGGCAGCTTTCTCGTACGTTGTTCTCAAATTTCAACAGTTTCCAAAGAAAACATAGAGACTTTGTTTTCATTTCAAAAAGGAACACAACATATTTCATGTGAACAACCTGGTAAAATTCAAAGGCTCAAGACCTGATCAGATACATTCTGCCTCAAGTTCTCAAATTAAAAAAAGTGCCACTTCATTGAAATTAAAACATTCACAGCTGTTGGAGGGTCAGGCAGGGACTCTGTAGAGAAGTCAGCCAGCTAGGAAAAAAAGTGGGATTTTTCCATTTTACTTTCCTGTATGGGCTTACTGGTATTTTTAAGAAGTGATTTATTTATTTATGGGACTGGAAATTCACTGTCACAGTAACTGGAGTCTCAAAGGTTTTTTGCTGGTAGGCTTATTTCCTCTTCAAGCAATGGCATCTTTGAACACAAGACAAAACTTGAAATTTCTTTTTCTGACTAGTGATTTCTATTGCACAGATGTCTGCTAATTTGAATTTGTGACTCACAGACCATCTGTGTAGCGTGGGCCAGGATTACTACATTTACTTCCCTTATTCAACAGAAAGAGCTACTCTGTTGGGGTTCATATACAAACTGTAATCAACACTATGTGATTCAATTTTTAAGTTATCTGTACATTTCTCATTGAAAATACACAGCATTATTTCTCTGTGCCTTGCATGTCAATCATGAAGAGCTCTAACTACAAAATTTATTATATTGCTTATCTTGGATTAGTGACTTGAGTCTGTGATGTTCTCATCCAACCCACACTACCAGGAGGAAAAATGAGCCTAAAGGGGATAATAAAATCTCTGTGCAGATGCCTGTTCACACTTTAAATCCAAACTGGAATTTTTTTAAGACAGAACTCTTCCCAGAGAGGTATTATAAAGTGGTAATTGCAGATGCTGTTCTGCATCATAATAGAGCCTTCTATTTCTACATTAATTATAGAGCATTGAAGCAATGCCATACATTGGTTCTATAATGCTATTATTACCCTGGCACAGAAGAATCTTAAAGAACTTCACGACAACAAAAAAGATATACTACTAACTAATACCATGTCAATATAGTAAACTAATTGCAAACTAGCAAATCAGACACAGATGACAATACAGGTAATGTTAAAAGAAATTACAGCATGGCTGGGATTCATCTACTCCGTTACTTAAGAGAAAATGCAGTTGTCAAAAAATGGAAGATTGGGCCTCTACTATGTAGTATAAGGAGTTTTACATAAACGTAGGCAACTCCCCACACTTATTCTAATGGCCCCTATGATACTAGCTGTAGGCCAGACATTTTAAAAGACCCACAGAAGATTCAGCAGAGCTGCAGTAAGTAGTAAATTGGACAGATTCTGACACCAAATTCATTATTTTGGTCATCACAAGCTCTAATATTTTTTTGTCAATCTGCTTCTTCCAGAGTCTCTGCTAACACCCAGCCTGACTACACGCAACTCCTTCGTTGGCTGTATTCGTAACTTCATGATTGATGAAAAACCAGTGAGTTTTAGTAAAGCAGCTTTGGTTAGCGGCGCTGTAAGCATCAATACCTGTCCAGCAGCCTGACAGTGCACTGCATCAATCCTGTAAAGCTTCTTAGACCACAGAAAGGAAAATAGGGAGAAAAAAAAAAACCTAAGTTCATTGAGAGAAGAATGAAAATATCAAGGATCCATCTACAGAAAGCAGTATGTTTAAGGGTCACTTCTAATGTTTATGTGCAAACAAAAATCACTGAAGAATAAAGGGCTGTTGCTTCTGCACTTCTCTTACTACACCACAAGAGTGAGCTTCACCATTTCTTATAGTGTATGTGTGGCCAGTCTGTTACATGAAAATGTGGGATTATAAAATAAATGAAAATTATATTAAATATATTACTTTCAAGATAGATCCTCTACATTATTTCATTCTATGCCTTAGGACACCTTTTGTTTTGCAGAAAAAGATCTGCTAATGCACATTAAAGAATAAAGCTAGATAATAGACTTAACATCGCAAATAACTGTGTCCAAAGATTTCTTTTTTTCATTTTCCATTCAAGTCATTTATATATTCCTCAACTACAATGGGAGGCAGAGAGCATATCAGTTATGTAACCTTACAAACAATGAAAACTAAAATTTTCATTCTACTTTTAGACTTCATGGATATATTCTAGCACAATGTGAAGACTGGATGTGTATCTTTTAAGCCAGACACTTTATATAACTGATCATTTACCTAAACTACATAATTTTAGCGCAATACTTGCCTTTACATAGGAAGCAAGAGACAAAATTCAAACTGTCAAGCTTTTCCTCTATATTTTTAAACGTACTTACATTCTAGCACAGCATTAAATCTACAATCTCATTGTGATGTCGTTTGCACTAATGTAGCGCAAGTAAGGCTTCAGTTTACAGCAGTAATCATCAAACTAGGAACATGTTCCTGTGGATTGTATCCCAAAAGATATGCTGCTGCAGAGAAACTGGGGGTGAAACAGGAAGATGTAAAAAGAAGGCAAAGGGCTCCAAATCTAAGCTATGTTAAAACCATAGAAGGTAAACAGAAGTTAATACTAGGCTTTAGCTCACAGTAGCCTTGAACATCAAACAGACACAAGTTACTTGCAAAATTTAGTCTCTTCAGAGATAACCTGCATCAAAGCCATTTAGGTTTCATTTCTTTAAAGAATAAACTACTGTTGACAGAAAGTTTTATGATTGCTGGGCAAATTATTGTTGGAACCAACTCAAAGCATGACCAGCGGCAAAGTAGGAAAGTATGTGTCCTGGGTTCAGCTACAGCAGTCATTTTTTCTCCTTCTTAGTAGCTGGTGCAGTGCTGTGTTTTTGATTTTCAGTCTGGGAACAACGCTGATAACACCGATGTTTTTAGTTGTTGCTAAGTAATGTTTACTCTGACCAAGGACTTTCTCAGTCTCATGCTTTGCCAGAGAGGAGGGGAAGCCAGGAGGAAGCAGAGGCAGGACACCTGACCCAAACTGGCCCAAGGGGTATTCCATACCACAGCACGTCATGCCCAGTATATAAACTGGGGAGAGTTACCCGGAAGGCCCAGATCGCTGCTCGGGTCGGGCTGGGTATCGGTCGGCGGGTGGTGAGCGGTTGTGTCCTTTTCCCTTGTTATTCCTCTTATCATTATTACTGGTAGCAGTAGTGGTTTGTATTATACCTTAGTTACTGGAGAGCTGTTATCTCAACTCGTGGGAGTTACATTCCTTCGATTCTCCTCCCCATCCCTCCGGGAGCGGGGGGAGGAAGGAAAAGGGGGGGAGTGAGCGAGCGGCTGCGTGGTTCCAAGTTGCCGGCTGGGTTTGAACCACGACAGTATGAAACGCAAAAATAAAGGACAACACCCTACAGACTAAAAATTAATAGGAGCTCATCTGGAAAACACAGAAGTGGCAACTGAAAGCCAAAGATCTTGAATCTATGGACAGCTGGAGGAACCACCAGAGTAAGATACATCTGTATACACTAATCAGTAGCTTCCCTACTACTCTCTCAGTAGGAAAAGGGTTTTGGTAGACTGAAGAGGTCTTGACTTACTCCAGAAAAAGAACTGCAAGCTCAGGACACACTGGCACAGGAACTCTCCAGCAGCTGGGACCCTGTCACCACCTCTCCACTTGTCTCTAGAGTCCAGTGTTGGATGGTAAGTGGACAAGAGAAGATAGCATGGCTCCAGCCGCCACTGCCTTTTCTTCCATCAACCTTTTCATGTCTGCTCATGCTTTCAGCCCCATGCCTGTTCTAACTGCCTTCTCCCAGACACATCTCCCATCCTATTTCCTGCAACTCTCAGGCAATATGCTCCCACACCTGATTCCCTTCCCAACCCTGTAGGAAGGCCCCCTATTTCTGGGTGTGGTATACAGGCCCTTCTTTTTGTCACTTCATAGCCCACTGTTCACACTTTAGAAGGAAGCAGTAAGAGCATCCCTCTGAAGTGTCTCTGAATCAAGCACGTCATGGGTCCCCAAATCCAGTTGCCTTCAAATGCTGTATTTGTCTCAGATACCAAAACCAGTATGCCTTCTCAGCTCTTTCCTGCTCCCAGCTACTACCCAGGCTCTGAACAGAAAACATCTGGGGCTTTTGGTTTGGGAATTTTTTTATTATTGGGGTGGAGGGGGAACATCCTCAGATCAGTGAGCTGGGTTTCCAGTGTGTACCGGAGACCATGCATGGTGTCAGGGCTGCGCAGCTGGGAGCAGGGGTAAAAAAGGCAGTCTCTCCTGCCAATGGCAGTGAATTGTTAGATTGGCTCAGTAAATCTCATGACACCACAACCTGAGCTAAGCTTCCTCAGGCCCCAGTCTCAGAGAGAAAAGAACAGCAGATTCCCTGCTTAGATAGGTTCGTTATAAGCATTACTGAAATTCCTTTCAAGGTTGCCTGCAGCTGCTAAGCAGAAACTGCCAGGAATAGCATATGCTTGTGCCCTTTAAGAGCATCACAGTTTAGTGAATGCTGGTATTAAGTGGAGCATTGTATGTAACTGGCACACACACACTCAGAACACTTTTCTGTCTTACACCTACTTCAAACTAAAACATATTTTCTCATACCCACATCCAAGCTCTGTGAATAAACAGTGTTTTTCTTAGCCATATTTGCTGCAATGAGATTTGGGTTTATTCAGTGCATTTACATTTAAGAATGACTCTTCTGATTAAACAGTCCTTTGCATACTTTATATATGGAAAACTAAAAATACAGTTAAATAATATGTGATTAAAAAACACATTAAAATTCATAAACTGCTACCATTCAATTTACTTCTCATTACTATATCGCTAGCTAATCAAACACAGCAGTGTTTCTGGAATATACAACTTCCTTTCTAGGCCTTAGAGATGCAGGGTTTCCCTCTGCAGAGGAAGGTTTCCAAAGAAATATACTAGAAACCAGAGCATACTTGCAGACTCAGGAGACAGCAGAGAATAATGCAAATATCCCTTCCCCCAGCATCCACACAGACCTTGAAATTACCATTCCATATGTGCTAAAGGAAGTCTGTATGCGACAACATTACATTACACACACCTTTGCATTCATTTCAAAGCCCCTCTGGTGTTTCAGAGAAGGCAACTGCCTAAACAGAAATCTTCCCAGAATTCAATTTGCATTCTGCATCTATCTTAAAAATTACAACTACAAAGTACAAAACCCTTCACCTACACAGATTTGGGAAAAACCTTCAAGTTCTGAGGTACACTATCAGATTGTCCATTTGTGTTTTCAATACGAATATTACTATCTCAATTCAGCAGAAAGCCTACAAAAAAATGAGCACTGACCCTAAGGAGATTATAACTTTTCTCTGCCACCTTCAAGGCTATAGTAAATGTTGTTATAACCATTATCTAAGTAAGGGCTACAACTACACTATTATATCATGGAATATTCTGAAATTTGACATTTGCATGTCTATATAAAAAAAAATCCAGTTTTGAGTTTAAATACTCAGCAAACTGCTTCAAAATAGAGTATCTAATTAGGATCTCTGGCCTCTCTACCTCTTGTTTCTGAAGATCTGTAAAGATGTCCTATATATAGTTAAAGGTTATCAACGTTTCCTTCTCCTCATGGACCGAGAGTATGGACAACAGCCTTAAAAGGAAAATGAAAGATGAAGGGTCACAGGACTCACAGTAATTCCCCAAAAGCCAACCATCCTAAGCCAAAAAAACCCAAACCAAAACAAAACCCACCAAAACACAAACAACAAACAACACCTTCATAAGGGACTCTTCATCAGTGACTGTAATGACAGGACAGGGGGTAATGGGTTTAAACTTAAACAGGGGAAGTACAGGTTAGATATAAGGAAGAAGTTCTTCACAGTGAGGGTGGTGAGGCACTGGAACAGGCTGCCCAAAGAAGTGGCAAATGCTCCATCCCTGGCAGTGTTCAAGGCCAGGTTGGACAGAGTCTTGGGTGTCATGGTCTTATGTGAGGTGTCCCTACCCATGGCAGGGGGGTTGCAACTAGAAGATCTTAAGGTCCTTTCCAAACCTAACTATTCTATAAATTAACTAAACCCTGATATAAACCAAGGAATGTCATTAGCTCAAATTCCAGTGTATTCTCCCTACAGCAGCATGTGGCCTAAATAATCAAATGACTGTCATTAAAAAGATGCTGAAAGCATGGAACGTATATTTAACTTGTAATCTCTTGTTATGGTTGCGATTCAAGGGTTATTCACAGATTCACAGTGGTCAATGTCAACTTATTGAAATAACTTAGTTATTCCTACAATTCATGTTCCAAAGCTATGAAACTTATATTACTGTATAGCATCGACAACAAAAAAGTTATTGAGAAAGTAAGGCTAAAAAGCACCCATTAGCATATGACTATAGATTAAACGGTTAACATAGACAAAAAGTCTCTGAAGGGTCCTAACTAGAAACATGCATTTGTACTATGATAGATGAAGTAGAGCTTCATCTACAATGAAACAGAAAGTCAGTGTGTGATTATTTGTTTCACATAGTTGAGCTGCCCATTTCATTAAACCTCTGAGCACATGCATCAACCCAAACTGGTTATTACACATCCACCTCCTTTGGAAGCTAAAAACATTCATATTCTCACATGAATATGAATCTCAGTTGCATCTCTGATTCATAGCATTTCCAAGCTCAGTGAGAATAATCACTTTACATTTGCCATCACAGACCTCTTAATAGCACACTGGAAGCCAAAGCACTGAGTTTCTTGCTGCAATCTCATGTTCAATGGAGCAAATCGCATTAAGCTGA